CTTCACCCTGCAGCACGATCAATGCCTCTTGTCTTGCCTCTGTTGGCTGCCTTGCTTGTCTCTGCTGCTGCTACCTCTGTTTGTCTGCCTCTGCATTATCTCTGCGCTGCCCCTGTGTTCGTGCTCTGGTGGAGGCCGGATCCTCGCGCTGCGTTTCTCTTCCTACCGCGCACTAATTGTCCTCATCCTTGCCCTCGCTCCCTCCAGCAAGTGGCGTCGTCGTCGGGTCCTACAGTCGCACTGCAGTCAGCCGTGGACGCACCACGGTCAGGACTGATGCCATGTGCCCCAAGTCTGCACTACGCAATGGTCATCCTGAGCTGCGCTTCTCCCTCCCCGTGGCATGCTCCCCTATGCCGGGCCGCCGTCGTCGCGCGTGCGCACCCCCAAGGCCACATGCTAGAGCTGCAAACCTCTGTGCTACCCCATCTGTGTCGGCCCGCCTACTACCTAGAGCTGGTGAAGCACCCCGCCGCTGTTCCGCTGCTCACAGCCACCATCGCACCCCATCGTGGCCGCTTCCACGCCACCACCGCGCGCACGAGCGTGCCATACAGCCCGATACCGAGGAGCACCGTGTTGAGCTGCCCATCCGTCATCGTCCGCCTTGGCTAAAGGCCTGAGGTCCCATCAAGTCAGGGCTTGGGCTTGGTCCTCACCGCTGTCATAGCATCTGCCATGACATGGATGGTAGCCGCGGCTAGCCCCCTCCTTTGTATCATCGCAGGCACGCCTACGGGCGTCGAGGGTGTCGCGGGCTTCGCGGTGGAGGCCGAGACGCTCATGCACCGGGACCGCAGTTCGCGGCCCGCCGCCCTGTTGGGCCTGATGGACCGGTAATCCTTGTCGGGTTGTTCTGAGGATGCTTCATGTCTGCGAGCATCGAGGGTGTCACGCGCGTCATGGTGGAGCTTGAGACGCTCGTGCACCAAAATCATGGTGCGCGGCCTTCCGTAGTCGAGGCTAAGGAGCTGGTAGTTGCTGGGGGTGCGGACCTCCATTGTAGGCAGCTGTAGCTCCCCGGGCGCCTCGGCGATTGCGTTGAGGCCGGTGAAGAGGAGGGGTTGTATGGTAGCGGAAGACCGCACCAACTCTCCCTCCGTTGTAATGACGAAGTCTAGGTTCCCGAAACGCACGTGCGCGCCCGGGACCCAGCTGACATTGCGATTAGCCATTCGAGGCCTGGAGTTGATGTCGAGACGCGCAAAAAGGCCCCTACCTAGCGTGCCAACTATTGGTGTTTTGAGTAAACACCAACGAGTAAATTTGTATATTGCGCGTATGGCTTGGATGGTGTGCTGAGAAGACACAAGGGTTATACTGGTTTGGGCCGAATGTCCCTATGTCCAGTTTTGAGCTGCTCATGTTACCAGCACTGAGTTTATAGTAGGGGATTACAAACTGGCGAGAGAGGGAGGTAGCTCCCAAGTCTCTGTGGTTCGATTGCTCGGTGTCTGATATGGTGCGGTGAACCGATGTTGTGTGATGCACTTGTTCGATGTCCCTTAGTGTGACGCCCTGCTTTTCCTTTTATAGCCCACGGGAAAGCAGGGGTTACAGCCGAAGGGAAGAGGGAAAGAGAAAGAGAAAACAGGCTCCTAGAGGTGTGTCGTTCTCCTCTTCGCGTGGGTCCCGCTGACCCTGTAGATCATGGTAGTAGCGGCGTCGTACCGGGGTCCTATTGGCCGCTACAGCATGCGTGCGGGCGTCAGGGGTCATTCTTGTCTTCCATCCCATCCGAGCAGACGGAATGGTCAAAGAGTCCCCTGACAGAGGCCATGCAGGGGGTTAGCGGTACAGTGCCAGTCAACTAACACCGGTCGACTGACGTTGGACGTCGAGAGAGGCGGAGCCGGCCCTCAGTCGTCGGGCAAGGCAGAACCAACCCTCGGGGGTCGGACGAGATGGAACCAACCCTTGGAAGTTAGCCGAGGTGGTGCCAACCCTCAGGGGTCGGACAAGGCAGAGCCCATGGCCTCGGTGGTCGGACGAGGCGGAGCCCAGCAAGAGGTGTAGTCGCGCTCTTGACCGTTCGGATGAATCAACGTTGATGGTTATTAGCTCCTCCTCTTAGGGTACCCTAGTATTGATGCCTGACATAACTAAAAATCAGTTTTAGAGGCGATTGGTATATCCAGCCGCCTCATATTGGTGTTTCTAACCGTCTCTAAAAAATAGTGTCATTTCAAAAGACGACCGGAAGCACTCTTAAAATCGATTTTTAGTGGTGGGTCATCTCGGAAACCATTTGTAGAGATGTTTTTTATATCAAGACATCTATAGAAAAATGGACGTCTCCAAAAATCATTTTGGTAGTATTGATTTGTTGCCGGCAGTAACTATGAGTAATATCTACAACGCCTGAAATTTCTAAAACAAAGTTGGGGTTTTGAACTCAAAATTCTGGAAATATCACATTTGCTTTATTAATGTAACTCACATATCCCTCTGTCCCAAAAAAAATATCGTTCTAGCTATGGATTTGGATAAATGTTTGTCCAGATTCATAGGCAGGACAACACTCTTTTGGGGACAAAAAAAGATGTACATATTTGGAGTAAGGCTTTTTGTAATTGTAATCTTTGTACCTTTTCATTTTAATAAAATTTATCATTAGGGGACACCCCTCCTAGCATGTCATAGAAACAAACATTTATATTTGGGGTGACCAAAGGGATCACAAATTTAATAAAATTCTTCGGTAGGGGGTAGCCCCTCCGGTTGCTTCAAAAAAAAAAGGGACCACAAAGAAAAAAAAAAGATAAGTATGAAAAGTGAACAATAAGAGAAATATGAGGGTAGATTATGTGTCTCTGCCAACAGGGAACATTAAGAGAAATTATGTGTCTCTGCCAACAGGGAACATTAAAACATAAAGATTTTCTCTTGGTTTGATATCCAAATTTCTCATAAATTAAAAAAAAACTCAAAAAAGACATTTACTATACTTGTTATCTTACTACTCTGGGGAAATGGTTTTATTATATTGTACTTGTACGAGTATAATAATCTCTTTGTGGCCTCCCCTTTGCTCTCCATACGCACGGTACATACGCTTTGGAGAAGGCAATTTTTTTATTTTCCTCGGAAAGACGACACTCTAGTGACTAGTGAGAGAGAGAAAGAGTATTTTTTTAAGAAAACCTGGATTGTATTTCGCATGAATAAGTCAATGTTTACATGGCAACTTACAAAACCGGGATTGTATTTCACATGGATAAGTCAATGTTTACATGGCAACTTACAAAAGCACCCTTGAACAAAAAGAAAATTACATTTTGGTCCATACAAGGGTCTCCCAGAGTCCGGGTCGTCTTCGTCGCCGGCGAATGGAGGAGCCCCTCGACGAGCATCCACCGCACCAGAGGTAGGAGAAGATGCACACCGAGGTTGCAGCTTGAAGCCAACGCCCTTCCCGACAAAGAAACTTCAAAGATTTTCATTGGCACAACGAGTAGCATGCCCAAAACATGTCGTAGAACCGTTGAACGCCCAAGCCAAAGAAGATGACCACTGGCCATCCCGCAACCGAGGAAAATGGGAGTCGCCGTAAGCATCACAGGCATCTCCAAGTCGACGGACGACGAAGCAACCAAAAGGGGAAAGAAACCACCCAAACAGTTGCATGTAAACCACCACCCGGAATCCCCAGAATAGTGGTAGGCATACCTCCCTAGAGTCTCTCCGGAGAGGGCATCGACGGTGCCGGTCCCGAAGAAGACGAGGGAGGGACAAAAGTCCTCGCCGACGAGATCCGAATCTTCAAAAGAAACCCCAAATTTGGCGAGGTAGCAGCCACCCAGCCCTTCGCCACTGCCAAAACACAGACCGACGAGACAGAGGAGGGGCCGGCGAAAATAATTCCCTAACGGCAGCGCCGCCTCCACCAATCGCATGCCACGTGGACCTAAACTTCGTAAACTAGGTAGTAATATGTACAACGGCCGTCTCAATCCCCGTTCCCCGGCGCCGAACCGGCCGCCAGAGTGGAGGGGGAACGGAGGAATTCGACGCCGTATCCCGGTCGCCCTCTTTCAACTGTAGCGACTAGAAGGGTCCACAGGAGGAAGAGAAACTCCAGAAGGCGAGAGAAAGAGTAAGATCAGATAGAGATGGAAGTGGAGTGGAGGTGGGCTGATGGGACCCGATCGATGTCCGCGGGCCACGGCGAGGCCAGGGAGCTGCAGCTGCTAGCTAACTCATGCTCCTCCTCTATTTAAGCCGGCATCCTTCACTCGCTCGTCACTCACAAAGAAGCCGGAGAGCTGAGAGCTTCAGCTCAACTGTGCTCATTCGTTTCTTCGTCTTTATTTGGTGTTTTGCCTCCGGCCAGCCTCTGTTTCCTAACGGAGGTATCTCACTAGAGTCCTGCTAGCAAGGGCACTCTCTCTAGAGCTGAGCACCATCTTCCAGAAGGCAGCTAGCGACCATGGTCTCCCCTGACACCATCCGCACGGCCATCGGTGTCATAGGTGAGTAGTCACTACCTGCTTGTGCCCCTGCTGCTTAGTATGTTTTTCTCGCCAAGCTTAAAAAATGTGTGCTTCAATGCAAAGCATTATTAACTATTCGGATTTCCTGGAGCCCGGCCTAATCATTTTCCTTCTCATGCTGCCTGTTCATAGTACTAATTTGCTCCAAATTAAAGCTCAATTTGTGATTTTCTTCTTGCCACAAAGCACGTGCTATATATTCACTTTTGGGTTTATTTTTTCGTTTGGGTATCTTGCAGGCAATGGGACCGCCCTGGTGCTCTTCCTCTCCCCGGTGTAAGAATCAATCCATTCGTTTCCAGATGAATACAAAACTCTAAATTAATAATAGACAATAACACACACCCATCATGAAATATGTATAGGAATAATTCTGTATACAGTTGCATAACTATGAACTAGTAATAAACATGTCCCAGAACACAAATACTCAGAAAAATATGTATGTAGTATGTAGCGTCTACTAATTGAAGCACGTATTTATTCATATACGTGTGACGTGTACAGGCCTACGTTCATCCGCATCTGGAAGAAAGGGTCTGTGGAGCAGTACTCGCCGATCCCGTACGTGGCGACGCTGCTCAACTGCATGATGTGGGTGTTGTACGGCCTGCCGGTGGTGCACCCGCACAGCATGCTGGTGATCACCATCAACGGCGCCGGCATGGCCATCCAGCTCACCTACGTCACGCTCTTCCTCCTCTACTCCGCAGGGGCGGTGCGCCGCAAGGTCGTCCTCCTGCTCGCCGCCGAGGTGGCCTTCGTCGGCGCCGTCGCCGCGTTGGTGCTCACCCTGGCGCACACGCACGAGCGCAGGTCCATGGTGGTCGGCATCTTCTGCGTCCTCTTCGGCACCGGCATGTACGCCGCCCCGCTCTCCGTCATGGTACGTATATACGGCGGCTAGTATTACTGGTAGTACTTAGTATATTGGTATGGCTGCAGCATGTGACTGAGTTATCGACTAGTCGATGGATTTTTTTTTTCTTTGATTGCACTCCTAGCTGCAGTAGCGCGTTGTGCTTACCAGTACGTACGTATTATATTAGGTTGCTGTCGGCGTCAGGAGATTACGTTTTTTTGTTCTTTATTACTGTTAATGAGTGATTAATAAATTACAGCAGCTGGAATGGGAATCTTTCACAGTACAAACGAAGTGGACAATAGTTGTTTTAGATTCCATTTCACTGCGCACAGAGATTTCATTTGTTGGAGAGAATAAAACAAAGTAGCCACACACGTACGTAGGCATAACTCTGCTGTCGTTTCTGTGACTCTGTATGCGGCGCAACAGCATATATGCAGTGTCTTCCATGTTGATTTCACAACTGGAGTACTACTATCGAAGTAATAGTACGTAGAAGAGGCTTCATTTTGATTCATTTGCAGAATTAGCACTGGGCGCCCTCTCTCCCTCTCTCTCTCATTCATGCAGCACATGCCTTGTTATATGTTGCAGAAGGTATTGATGGTGAAGGTCTTTTTTGCATATCTGATTTTGTCCATACCCATATTATATACTAATGCAGATATGTTTCTTTTTTTTGTATGATGCATGGATCAGAAAATGGTGATCCAGACGAAGAGTGTGGAGTACATGCCCCTGTTCCTATCTCTGGCTTCCCTCGTGAACGGCATCTGCTGGACCGCCTACGCGCTCATCCACTTCGACCTGTACATCACCGTAAGAAAACTACTGCCAGTATTCGTCAGATGAACTTTGGATTCCGTTTCTAGCTTTAGTTTATACCTAGTAGCTAACATAGCATGCATTCAGTTTTAGTACTAGTTGTATTTACCTGGCGGCCGGTGCGGTAGAAGTAGCTTAGCATGCAGCTAGCGCTAGTATTCATTCGTATAGGAATCGCGCAGCGAGTATTTTAAGACCTTGCCCAAATCAGCAGCCTGCTGGGCGCGTTTTGGAGGAAACCGACAGGGAAGGATGAGAGGAATTAGAAGCCATGCATGTGCTCCGACGGATCCCTGCTTCACCTGCAGTAACCAACGGAGCACAGCAAATCAACAGAACGGGTTACAGGCATCGGGCGGCAACGGCAAGCATGCACACAGACGCAGACGCAGATGCATGTCCTGTTCGATCAATTCCCCTTCCCTCACACGCTGTTGACCCCCATCTCATCTGACCACCAACGAGCTTCGGCACGCTACTCCACAACAGCACACGACGGACACCATCTTATCCGTATCCCGTAGGGGCTCCTAGTCCTAGTCCTACACCAGAGTCTCCTCTCCTCTGCTGCGTCAGCGTTGCTGCAAGCATGCCCCTTGGATCAGGCTACTAGTACACACTGTAGTGCCACCTGGCTCTTGAAATCTAAACTCACCTCCGCAACCCTGTTCCTATTGACCAAGTCTGAATTGTATCCAGATGAATCTCTGTTATGTATTTTTCTTCCTCGTCCTCTTTTTCATGTACATGTACTTACCGATCATGCATGGCCAATGCAATAATCTCGCATGCATGCAGATCCCCAACGGGCTGGGCGTGCTGTTCGCGGTGGCGCAGCTGGTCCTGTACGCCATCTACTACAAGAACACCCAGAAGATCATCGAGGCACGCAAGCGCAAGACGGACCAGGTCGCCATGACGGAGGTGGTCGTCGACGGCAGCGGCAGGGTCTCCAACAACAACAACAACGGCAACACCACCTACTGATGAGTACTTGTTCTACTTGATGACAACAAGCAACTAGCAGGCGACCAACAATGCAAGCAAAAGAGCTGGCGCCCACACGTACGGGGGCTACATACGCCAACGCCGTGTGTATCTAGCACTAGCAGCGTCCTTAGCTTCTTCCTGATGAACGGATGATCGATGCATATGCATCTTAAGCTGTCGTCGTCGTCGTCTGTCAATTACTACTAGCTGTTACATTCTGCATGCTTCCTAGTAACGAAACTTTGCCCACTAATTAATAATATATGCTAAAGCATTTTGATCGTATTGGAATCACCAAAGTCATATGCTGCAGAGATAGATTTGATTTCAATGTACGGCAGTTTCAAAATATCACAAATTCTGCAGTTCAAAATATCACAATGCAAGACCCTGTTGCGGAAGAGAAATGTGAGCAGAGGTCTTTCAATAGGATTTGCCATTGACAAACACCATTTGTTTACTCAGCTGGGCAGGGACACTGTCCGGTTGGGATATGACTATAGCCACTTGAGCTTGACTACTAGCTAGTCCTACATGACTTTGATATGACCTTGGCAACATGAGCTTTAATCAATTGCAAAGGTGGAACCCATTGTACTGTATACTTCTTATATATTTTTTTATCCTACCTGTTTCTTCTTCTCTTGTGTCTTGTCCAAACATAGCTGCAGAACCCTGTTTCGTACGTGCCCCGTTTGGGTAAAAGGGAAAATATGAGGAATAAAACTACAAGTTTTCTTTTGTTTAACCTTCAAACCAAATGAAGATTTCTAAAAAAAAAAGTAATCTGCCTCGTGTTGACTAGCGATAACTTATGCTTTGGTATGGACGTGCACGTCATTCGGTGTTCTTCTTGTTGTGACCACCTGGTCAATAGTGAGATGGGCAACGATCATCAGCTTGTAAGGAAATTGGTCACGACAGCAATCCCTGATGGTGGCATGACCTTGAGTTGTGAGTCAATTTCAACGGCGGCACTATTCGACTAAGACATGCCCATGACAACAGCATGATGAGATCAACCAATAATTTAGGTGGTCGTGGGCTGTTGACACATTTAACTATAGACTGTCTGTGCTCCATCTGAATAATAGTACACCCTCCATCTTTCAAAAGTGCAATTCTATAATTTTTTTCAAGTCAACGGATCTCAAGTTTCATCGAGTGTTCATAAAAAAGTATTAATATTTTTTTTGAATCACAGTACAGACACAAAGATTGAAGAATTCAATATAGATGTCTCGCTGTTAACGGGTGCGTCGCCTGTACCACTGAAAATAATGACACTGTTAAATCCTACAGTAAACCTAAGAAAATGTGAGTGTCTACATCAAGTCAAGAACTTAACATACGTGTAGGTTCCAACAAAAAAAAAATCTAACCATCTGAGCTATGTGCGCTCAATTTGCAATTATTAATATTTATGAGATCAATTAAATAATAAAAGTTTTTTCATAGAATATATTTTATTCTATTTCCATAGCGTACCTATTGGAACATAAATATTGATACTATTTTGTATATACTTAGTCAAACTTAAAGAAAAAAAGACTTCTTTTAAAACTAGAACATTTGCATTCTAAATTTTTGGGAGGAAGTACAATGGGAACACTGTTCCAGCGTCCACTGACCTCGTGTTGTCTGCTGCTGCAACATTGGTCGTCTGATGGCAGTGACCAATTAACATAACATGGTGCTTACCCACGTCAAGAAATTGACATACAAATTAAAGCAGCCGTGCTGGGATCGTCGAACGCCCTAGCCATCCAGAGACCAAAAGGGGACAGGGCCGGCCACAGACGACGAACTTGGATTCTGTCTTGCTGTGCTCTGCTCCCGATGCCCAAGAGGGATGAATGAAGCGCTCATGGATTTTTGGTTCCGCAGAGGAACTGATCATGCTCGTTTTTTGTGCAGCCAGTCAACCTCGGCCCAGAAGTAACGAACCCCGATCGTTGGGATTTGGACATGGCGGAATAATTGCAGTGTTAGGTCGAGTACAAACAAGCAGTGTGGTACATGAACGCTAGCTTCAACAACCCCACCTACTTCGTTCAGTAAAGTCGCCTGGCATCCGATACCATCCTGAGGCCGGTGGATGAATCCTTCGACCTCTACCACCACGGCACCACGATCGCCGCATCCGATAGTCCAGAGCAATCTAGCTAGTACATGCATCCTCACGCGTACGCATGTGCAAACAAACAGGGTGGCGGTGGGCAGGACGTACGACGTCCTACGGGGACAAGAACGCCTACCTACGCAGATACGATGTGCCGCACCCTAGTGCTAAGCTGCCGCCGGGAATCGATTCTGCAATGCACACCAGGCCTGGCGGCTTTGCATGATCATGATTCCGAACACGATGTGCCACGCTGCCATCCTAATTCTCTTTCACTAACCTTGTACCAGGCAGGTCGGCTGAGTGATGGCGATGACTGACATGGTGCTCGTTTTCTCCTATAATTTTATACCAAGAAAGAATTTGAAGGAAAGCCAGCAGTCCAGTGGAAAGAAGGTAAAACAGGCGTAGTTGATGCAAATGTACCCGGCGATGACTGAATGGAATGAAGCAGCGTTCAGGGCTCTGGTTTCAGTTTCACATACAAGTGGACTGAAAAAGTTGTTTGAGATGCATGCAATGCAATCGGGTCTGAAGATTCTGAACCCAGAAGGAACTGCTAGATGAGGCTGAGCTTGCTGATATTTTCTCACTCCTACAAACCGAGCCTACCACCACCAGCACCAGTTGTACCAATAATCGTGGTTGAATACTTCAACTCAACCCGGAGAGGATGACGACGTACGGCGGCAGCCGGCAGGGAATTTGTTCTCTGCGCACAATCTTGAGTTGAGAGAAAGGCGAGCCAGGTGACAACCACACCAGGGCCCAGGCCACCTCCTCATGAGTCACGAGCCTTTTGGGATTTGGACATGGAACTGTGCCAAGCCGTTGAGACGCACGCGAGAGGTTTTAATTTGGTCACATCGGAGAGAATTTGGCAGATACTGTAAGCTTTCTTCGGTGCTCTGTGGATGCCTGACTGCATCATGTCGCTGAACATTGGTTCATACATGATTGAATTGCAAATGGACGGTACGGTATGGATCCCATAACCTAGCCACTGTCGATCGATTTTTTTTTTTTGGCTGAAAAAAAAACCACCTGCGGGTTGAGTCACCATCTGCCTGCCTGGTAACGAACACTACTGCACCGTTCAGTCACCTTGCGTGCATTCTGCTGCACGCTGCTGGTGGGCCGATGGCGACCACTAACATGGTTCAAGAAAACTGATAGTAGATGACAGCCGTGTCGGGATCGGCTTTACCAATTTGGCAACACAAGAACCACCGTCCAACCTAAAGAAACCGTCGCCTGGTACATTCATGCATGATTGCATTGCATCCATGGATGAGCAAAAGACGAGATAGCATTGTGTTCTACTACTCCTACCATAGTACCGTAGTATATAGACAACAAACAAGCAATATATATGACATCATGGCTTTGGTTTCGCAATCAATCTGAACCTGGAAAGGAACTGTGATTGTGAGGCATGTACAACTTGCTGGATTCTGACCTCGGCTGTCGACGAAATAACAATGCCAATGGCCCTGACCCCCAAGTCAAATTTCTAACGAAGGTGATCATGACAACAGTGCTCTTGCTTACGATATGTCCTTGTGCAAAACAAGAGTTTGGACACTAGATTTCAATGGCACCAGCATTTGATCAGAGTATGAATCATGGATGACAAGTCTACCAGATGGGCACTCCTTTGCTTTCCCTGAAATTCCAACTGATCCATCATTAGATTGTGCACGATATTTTAAACGACAAAGTATGTAATGCGTTATCAGTGGAAAACAGAAAAGCATATCTTTGTAGCAAGGAAATTAGAAAGAAATCCAGTATTTGTTTGGATATGTGGCGAAAGCATCACATTCTCTAGTCTAGAGGATGAACTTTAGGAGCAGCTGTGTCGTGTTTGGCTCGTTCCAACTTTATTTGAGGAGTCATGTCAGTAGACCTGCATCAGCAGCATCAGGGGTCGATTGGGCAGCACCTAGGTGACTCATCAGGTAGTTACAAATTTGTTTGCGTTGATGCCAGCAGTCGGAAGAATAATAGAGATCGCGTACTCAAGCGAAAAGTTGAAACAGATGAACCACATCTCGTTGCAGATTCTATCAAACTGAGTTGACAGTTTGCCGTTGAACAACAGCTCCAGCTTCTGTTACGCAGATTATGTAACACATAATGTGCTGCTGATCTCTCCCTTTCTTGCTGCAGCAGAGTTGTCATTTGGTCAGCTCGGCTGTCCAGTTTCTGTAGCAGTATAGCAATAGACCACCTCTAGTACATTAGTTGGTAGCTATTACATCAGCCATGTCTTGGTGGTGGGCTGATGTAAGCTTTGTACTGCTAGTATTAGGAGTAGTTGGTGTACCTTAGGAGTAGATAGTTGGTGTACTCACCAACAACTATGTACTTGGTAGAGGTACTAGCACTTGTATATATATTACACCTAAAGCAATACAAAAGAGTAGTTCAGTTTGCCACATGCAGAAGCAGAGCTTTCGGCCAGCGCTGGGCTTGTGCTGTATGTGTAAGCTATTCTCAATATCTTCTTCTACCTCTAGCCATAGTGAGTGAGTGTGCTGGTAAGCTTACTGCTTATCTATGCAGGGCAGCCGAGGGACCAACAAGTGGTATCAGAACCGTACAAGCGCCGTTGTCGGATTAAGCGCTGGCGATGACGGACGGTCGGAGATGGGCGACAGCAGCGGCGCTGCTGTGGCTACCTAGCTACGACAGGAGGTCGTCATGCGCACGGTGTGGGAGGTCAATGGCACCAGTTGACCGACGCTGACTCGCACCAACTAAGGTGAGTGGGCGGTCACCATAAAGGTTAAGCTAGAATGCCATTGACAAGGGCACCGATAACGAAGAACAAGACATGTCAGCGTTATAGGCTATCCTCGTTGCTTTGCCA